TGGGTTGGGCTTGTGCTGTAATTGGTAGTGTCTTTTAAGTTGGCCTATAAATTCTTATTTCCGAGTTGATGATCCTGAGAGTTGATTTTTTATCCAATAGAAATCGAGTACTTGCGCATTTTGAAGCTGTACAGAACTTGGTCGACTTAGAATTAGAAATAGTTATTTCTTGGGTGACTTAGAAATAACAACTCTATTCTTTCTACAACAACAACAACAAAGCCTTTAGTCCCAAACAAGTTGGGGTAGGCTAGAGGAGAAACCCATAAGATCTCGCGACCAACTCATGGTTCTGGCACATGGATAGCAAGCTTCCACGCACCCCTTTCCATGGCTAGTTTTTTGGTGATATTCCAATCCTTCAGATCTCTCTTTACTGATTCCTCCCATGTCAAGTTCAGTCTACCTTGACAGATCTCTCTTTACTGATTCCTCCCATGTCAAGTTCAGTCTACCTTGACCTCTCTTGACATTATCAGCACGCTTTAGCCGTCCGCTATGCACTGGAGCTTTTGGAGGCCTGCGCTGAATATGCCCAAACCATCTCAGACGATGTTGGACAAGCTTCTCTTCAATCGGTGCTACCCCAACTCTATTTTGTATATCATCATTCTGGACCCGGTCCTTCCTCATGTGGCCACACATCCATCTCAACATGCACATCTTCGCCACACCTAACTGATATGTTGCCTTTTAGTCTGCCAACACTCAGCTCCATACAACATTGCGGGTCGAACCGCCGTCTTATAGAACTTGTCTTTTAGCCTTTGTGGCACTCTCTTGTCGCAGAGAATGCCAGAGGTTTGGCGCCATCCATCCGGCTTTGATTCGATGGTTAACATCTTCATCAATACCCCATCCTTCAGCAACATTAACCCCAAATATCGAAAGGTGTCCTTCTGAGGCACCTCCTGCCCATCAAGGCCAACCTCCTCCTCGTGCCTGGTAGTACTGAAACCGCACCTCATGTACTCGGTAGTTCTACTAAGCGTAAAACCTTTCGATTCCAAGGTTTGTCTCCATAACTCTAACTTCCTGTTGACCCTCGTCCGACTATCGTTGACTAGCACAACATCATCCGCAAAGAGCATACACCATGGGATATCTCCTTGTATATCCCTTGTGACCTTATCCACCACCAAAGCAAAAAGATAAGGGCTCAAACCCCTGATGCAGTCCTATTTTAATCGGGAAGTCATCAGTGTCGCCATCACTTGTTCGAACACTTGTCACAACATTATCGTACATGTCCTTGATGAGGGTAATGTACTTTGCTGGGACTTTGTGTTTCTTCAAGGCCCACCACATGACATTCCGCGGTATCTTATCATAGGCCTTCTCCAAGTCAACGAAGACCATATGCAAGTCCTTCTTTTGCTCCTTGTATCTCTCCATAAGTTGTCGTACCAAGAAAATGGCGTCCATGGTCGACCTCCCATGCATGAAACCAAACTGATTTTTGGTCACGCTTGTCATTCTTCTTTCTTCTTAAGCGGTGCTCAATGACTTTCCCATAGCTTCATTGTATGGCTCGTCAGCTTAATTCCACGGTAATTAGTACAACTCTGAACATCTCCTTGTTCTTGAAGATTGGCACTAATATACCCCGTCTCCATTCTTCTGGCATCTTGTTTGCCCGAAAAATGAGGTTGAAAAGCTTGGTTAGCCATACTATCGCTATGTCCCCGAGGCCTCTCCACACCTCAATGGGAATACAATCAGGGGCATCGCCTTGCCTCCTTTCATCCCTTTTAAAGGAGTAAATAGCATAAAACTACTACTTTACAGGCTATGGTTCCAAAAAACTACCGAATTTTAATTTTTCTCAGATAACTACCAAATGGGTGGTCGGCTGTTTCAAAAAACCCAAATCGTCGAGTGCTTAACTATTGACCGCGATTATGACAGGCCGGACCCACACCTAAACGAAGCGTTAGTTTGACCATTTGTTTGACCGTTAACTGACATGTGAGGCCCACATGTCAGTGTCTCTTCTCATCTAGCCATCTTCTTCTCCTCTCTGCCTCCCTTCTTCTCCTCTCTGCTTGCGAAGTACGCCGAAAAACAGGCATGGCCGCCAGCCACACTGCTGGCCCACGTCGCCGTCCCATGCCACGTCGCCCTCCCCCCTCCCCCCCTCCCCTGTTGCTGCTGGTTGGAGGCAGGAGCTCGCCGAAGCTCCTGGAGACAAGGAGCTCACCGGCCTCAATGGCC